TGCTGAACCCTTGACCTTCGCAACCACTCATTTGAGGGCAGAGCCACAACCACTACAGCAAAACCACCGAGAAAAGCTCCCTACGAGGGCCCCATAGAGAGGCTCAGACTGCTTCAGGACAGCAGCTTGGGGAGGTTTTTCCTGGAAAACAGAAAAAATTCTGCGTGGCCTAGAGCTACTGAAAGAGGCTTCCTCAGGGATGAAGAGGCTCACTTTAAACTCCTCTACACTTTGGCTCTGCTCAGGAAAAATCCTTTAATACCCCTGGCAATCAGAGAGAGCAGCTCCAAGGCTGAGGGAATGCAAGAACAGACTGCAGGGCTTTTCGGCTGCGCTACCCACATGTCAGCCCTCATGAGGAGCAAGTTCCCACCTCTGTCAGCCCTGGGAAGATGGATGGGGTGATGGGGGGAACAGCTGCAGTTTTCAGATGAGAAAATCCTGGGGGTTGCTGTCTGGCTTTGCAGAGGCATCCACCAGCTTTGCAGAAGAGGTCGGAACTGTCTAAGTCAAGGTGATGTCTCCAGCTCCCCGCAGCCAGCCGTGCTGCTGAGGCTGTGCTGAGGCTGGCCAGCAGCCCAGAGCTGGCAGGGAGGGCTGCCCCATCCCGCACCCTTTCGCTGCACAGCCCTCACTGCCTGGATATCTTATTCTGTGCTCTGCCTCTTCCCCTAAGCTCCATCCACCCTGACAAAGCACTGATGGGAGCTGTTTTTCTTCCCCGTCTTAGCGTTCTTAATTTTTTGTTTGAATGTTGGGGGCTGGAGGGTCCATCCTTTTTGTCATTAGGGATCGCACAAGGTGTGTTTATCTGCTGCAGAGAACCGAGTGCTTCCGGAGAGAGAAGACACAAATCACGAGGACACCCTGCTGACTCTGCTTCTTAATAAGAAGCTTGCATGGCGGAGACCGGAAAATATTGGTAAGTGACGGGAGATCTCAGCTTCTGCGTTTGCATGAATCTAAGGAACCTGCTCCTCAGGTTTCGCAGAAATACCGACTGCTCAGAAAGTGGAAGCACCTGTTATGGTACCTCCACGTGTCAATGTCAGCTGTTCTGCATCGTGGGGCAGAACACGGACGTGATTTGCAATGCAATGTGAAGCTGCCGAAAACCATGTACCCTAGATCCTCCGACACCCACCACTGCGCTGCCAAGGGAGCATGTGTGTGTCCATCACTAATTACAAGAGATGCTGCCGAGTCCCTGTGTCCCTGCCAGCCCTGAGATGCTGTGTCCTACGTCTGGGGCGTGGACCAGCTCTGGGAGCCACCTCTCCACCCCCACCCCACACAGACCCGTGGGTTTTTGGGACACTGCTCAGTGCCTTGGCACGCCAAACCCAGCAGCATCTTGTGAGCACGCAGGACAGCAGGGCAGCATCAAGATTTTGCAGAGAGCATATGGCCGAGGTCCCTAAGGGTCAGGTGTATGTGGGGACAAGGGCAGGGGGAGCTCCTGGCTGAGCCTGACCCCTGCTACTGCTGCAAGATGCTGAGACAATGGGCTTTTCCCACCCAGCAGAGAGGCCAAGGACAGGCTGTGTGAAGGCTTGAAGAGAAACTTGGGCTTTCCGTGCCACGAGCACCAGAAGGGTCCCAGGGGTAAGCGATTCCCACGGCCACCACAGCCAGGGGAGGGCTTGGGAAGCCCCCTGTGGTGGTCTCAGAGCAGGAAGCTGTCCTTCCCTGTGAAAAGAGCTGAGAAGGGGGCCCAGCAAAAAAAAATTGGTTATGAAAAGCCATTCGTCAAAATCACTCAGTGCTCTTCCCCAGCCCCTTGTTAATGCAGGGAGGCAGTGGTTAAACAATCCTGGGACAAATAAATAAACACAAATAAATCAAGTCCTTATACTAACAAAGGCATTCTTCTTGCAAAGGGGATGCATTCAAGAAATAACATTTTTATGATTAGTTTATGGATTATTGCACTTATTCCTCCTAGAGGAAAAGCTGTATTTTATGCCAGACAATTGAATATAATGAATCTCTGAGCAGAGCACAGACAGAGGATTTACAGCAGGCAGTTTCTCAAGGCTTCATCCATAAATTAACTTCCTTCCCCCTGCCTGAGATAATCTGTTCCAAATTTCTAGCGCTGTTCTTTTTCTATTCATAGCAGTCATGGGCCAAGCTCAAGGTTTGTGAAAAATCAAAGCAAAACAGGCACTTGAAACTCTAAAAGAAGTAAAAATGTGACTAATAATAATAATATCTAAAGTGGCACTTGTAGAAATGCAGCCTGCCTGCCTCTACCTCATGGATATGTAAAGAAATGCTTAAGAGGAACCTGCCCGAGGTCTCACTGGCAGTGCCAGGAACAGACCCCCCACCTGGGGACTCCCAGTCCATCCTCATCCCCATCCCCAGACTGTCCCTCACATTGAGCCCTGATGTCATGGATTTGCTTAGGAACTGCTGCTTTTTGCTGTTGGATGAATATCTGTCTGAAAATATTTGGGATTTTTTCAACTGGGTTGTTTCCTTCTTGAAGGAGAAACTGAGAAGGCAGGCAGCTCTTTCTTGGCACCCTCCTGCTCAGTTTCAAATGTTTAAAAAAAAAAAAACCAGCCCAAGTCTGGCAATGTGGCTGTGTGCTGAAGTCTTATCTGAAATCAGGGGGAATTATGTCCTAAATCCCTTTGGAGATGCAGACCGATGCCTGCTGCCACGTTAGGAGCAGACAAAGGAGGCAGCTCCAGGGCTGGCTTTATGGCTTTCTTGTGGGGCCAAGCAGATACATTCTTGAGCTCTTTCCTGGCTCTATTGCTTATTTTAGTGCATTTTTTCCCCCAAACTGGCACTTAAAACCAACTGATCGCTTTGTGTTTCCCTCCCAGCAGAACCGCTGTAGTCCAGCCGCTCAGCTTGGACTGAGCTCGTTTTGTTGTGGTGCTTCCCATTGTTTCTGCTGACTTGATAAAAAAAAAAAAAAAAAAAAAAAAAAAAACAAAAAAAAAACCAAACCAAAAACAAACAAGCTAACAATTTTGACATCAGTTGGAGTCTGAAATAAGGCACCTGGATTGAAATCTCACATCTCTTCTTGCAGCTTTTTCTGTCGCTCCTTCCCTCCCCAGTTCAGACGGAGGTTTTTGATTCATAGGCACCGAACTCTCCCCTTCTCCTGGATGGGGTATCTCAGGGCAGCTCATTCATCCAGCTGCAGAGTTTTTGGACAGTCTAGTACAGCACTGCTCAGCCTTGAGATCTCTAAGTGTGGTCCATAAGCCAGTCCCTGGGTCCCTGTGCTCCCCTAACGTTTAGAGGTGCGAAACCCACGCACTCACTGCTGGGTTACTTCTCCTGTTCCTCCACTCTGCCAGCCCTGATGTTTGCTGACTTACAAACAGTCCGTTATGCTAGACTAAACCTGTGTCTTCGGACTTCTGCCTGCACAGGTGATGTGAGGATAAATACCATGGGAGCTGGTATAAAAGGACAGAGACAGAAAAGCAGCATTAGAGATGAAAACTTTCACCTGAGCCGGTATCACACAGTACATCACCTTGTTGGGCCAGTTCCCCTAGAGCCTAGGGGGTGATAAAGAAGCCTCCTTCATAATGGATAATTAGGGTACAGTCCCGTAGGATTCGGCAGAGGAAGCCTGCTGTTCTGTCACTGTTTCTGCTGCCATGGATGTGGAAATCGCTACCAGGAATTAAATGATAACTAGGTCTTGTGAACTCTTGAAGAGGTTGCATGAAGAAACTGTTCTGGATTTGAGCTTTGGGAAGCAATGTACTGATGTTTCTCTCTCCCTTCTTGCAGACTGGGAGCTGGCAAAGAAATTTGAAGAGCTTGAGCAGGTGAGAGGAGCAAATGCACAGACACACACATGCACCCTGCTGCATGCACAGCTGAAAAACCGTGCATGCTGTCTTCATGCCCTGTTTTTCTATCTCTGCATCCTGTTAACTCTTCCTTCTACGGCTAGAATATAAGCATGTATCACACCAAGGGGAAAGCAGAACCTGGGATAAATAGCGGCGCAAGCTGGGAAAGATAAAAAGAGAGCAAGGCTCTAGCCTAGTGCAGTAAAGGCTGAGGCAGCTCTTGGCTCTGCCACCAGCAAAAGGCCAGCGAAGGCCAAGCCAGGAAAAAAATACCTGCCAAAAGAAATCTCTGTGGAAGAAAAGGGAGGGAGAAGGGGGGGTCATGCTGCTTTCCTGGGCATTGCATCAGCTGGCTGCATCTGATAACGGGTTGAAGTTAGAGGGATAGCCCTGCACACCTCATCCAGATGGATTTCTGGGCTTTTTACTAGCAAGGGGGGGGTCCTACCCAGGGTCTGAGCCCTGCTGTGCAGAGTGCACACACACATGGATAGCAAGAGGAAACCCCATCCTACACTGAGTTTCCAGGACCAGGGAAAGGTGTGCCACAACCTTGCCATTACTCCCACTGCACCCCAAACCCTGCGGGCAGTGGAAGCCCTTTTTCCCTCTTTCTCAGGCCAGGTCCAGCTGTTGGTGTGGATTCTGGAGGTCCTGCTGAGTTCCACACAGCGCTTTTCACTTCAGACAGAAAAACCACAGTGTGACGTGCTGGGCAGGGGGCTGCCAGCTCCCACCCCAGCCCCTTGCTCCAGTGCTGAGGGACAGTGAGCTCTGGCTTCCCAGGAGCAACACTGCCAGAGCAGGAGTCTACATCACGGCAGTAGATGTTCCTGTAACTACAGATGGAGAAGAAATACCATGGACTTTCCAAATTATAGCCAAAGCAAGAGCTGGGGGGGAAGTGGAGGGAGGGACAGACTAGAGCGATGGAGAAGCGATGCTCTCTGCTGCAGCGGGTGGATGCCTGGAGACCTCCTGTCCCAGCACTGACTTGACTCTTAGCAGTGCAATATCCTTCTGCACAGCCCCCTCTCCATGGGGGTCTGCACCCTGGGGTGGGGGAGAAGAGCAGGGGGTGCTGACACTGCTGCCACCAAACAAGCAGCTCGGTGGAGGAGGACTTGAGGAGGTGGGAGAGCTCCAAAGGCAGGCCCTCCCGCAATGGTCCCGCTCCAGGGCAATGGTCCTGCTCAAGGGCAATGGTCCTGCTCCAGGGCAGACCCTGTCCTCCCCCTTGCTGTCTGTACCTCCTGCCCCTGAGCCACCCAAGCTCCTCATCATGGGGCGTTTGTTTACTACTGTTTTTTTGTTTTGAAATAGCTGGAGAAGTTGAAGGATCAGCTCTCAACTGAGGAAGGGTCAGAGGTGGCCTATGCTTTGGAAAGTCTCTCGGCATCCCAGCCCAAAAAACGCGGTAGGTTTTGGGTTAGAGCCCTGCAGCCATCCTGTCCAGCTCTCATCTCCAGGGCTTCCTTTGTGCAGCCAAGACAGTGGCAGTAAACATGCCCCAAATACACTGAAAAACACGCTGGCAGCTTTTCCAGCAGTCCTGACCCTCTCTTGGTAATGGCTGGCTGGTTGAGCAGCTGGTGAGAAGGACTGCACACCCAGCCCTGTCTGCTCTCGGGACAGACACACCGGGTCTGCACTCCCAGGACCTTGCTGGAGGGAGTCGCTGCTGCATCCCTCTCTTTGCGGAGGAAGGTGGGACTCTATGAGCAATGAGTGCCTGTCCTGGAGGGGGGGAGTTCTGTATGAAGACGTCCCCGCAGCGCACCCGTCGCTTTGCTCTGTGCACAAAGCCGGTGCTGAAGGCATAATGAGGCATGTGGACTGCGTGCATCCCCCTCTGCCGGGGTCACTGCCTCCCTGCAGAGGAAAAAGGAGCATTTGCTCGGGCTGCTGAAAAGCAACTAAAAAGGATGTGGAAATCCACCAAGAATGCAGGGATCTGGTAGGTCCCCTAGTTGGTCTCCAGGCTTTGTCCAGCCTGTATCCAGTGTCTCAGGAGCACATTGCCTCTGACAAGCACATGGAGAATTCCGCTCGTGCTGGTTTTCAGCGGATTCCTCCACAAAGCAGAGGCAGCTGTAAACCAGCAGTCACCGGTGACAGATCTGGCCTTAAAACAGAAGAGCTCGTTCTGCCCTTACCCCGCATGCTCTGTGCGTGTGCAGGCTGACAGCCTGCCAGGCAGCCCAGAGAAAACCCCTCTGGGCCAGGCTTGCCCAGGTGATCTTTAGACAATCTGCAATTTATAAGCACCCCTGAAGGCTGCCATTAATTTGGCTAATCTAATTCATGCCCCCACCAGTTTAGAAGGTTCAAACGTAGATAAAACTATTTCCCCCTGCCAGGTTTAAATCAGATTCTGCCAGAGATTAAAGCAGAGAATCTTTGCCTTCATCTAAAGTCCTTCCAGTCTGGGAGCAGCTTGTGTCTCAGCACGAACGCTGCTGATTCAGTAGAAGCTTTCTCCCGACACCCTGCTTTCAAAAACCAGGTAGAAATCTCTTTTCATACTTGACAATAGGAGACCCACACAGGATTCAAAGAACAGGGCATGCTGGTGATACAGATATTTTTTTCCAACATTTAAATGTGCATCCTTCCCTAATCTAGTCTTCTTGGAAGATCCTGCAGAGATCAGTGTTGTCTGGAGGACTGTTAGCAGCAGAGTGATAGGGTGACTGGGTGTTAAAAAAAAAAACATTGCAAGGACGAGATGCAGTCTCTCCAAGTCAGTATGCTGCTCTTCCCGTCAGCCGCAGGTGAAAATCCCTGCGCAAACCTCGAGGCAGCAAAACTCCTGGCCAGCAGACAGGAAAGAAAAAGCTGTTTCCTGACATTGCTGAACTAAAGTGAAAGGAAAAGCAAACCCTTGTCAACCAAACAGCACAAAACCAACTTTTAGACCCCTTATTTACACTATAAGAAGAAACACCTTCTAAAAGTGTTATATGGAGTCCAGGCTGGTTATTGAGATGTGCCCAGAACCCACAATGCTGGTTCACACCCCAGCTCTCTCCAGACGTGGGGCTTTTGGAACCCACTCTGGGGCTACAGAGGGGATCTGGAAAAAGTCCCTTGGATGCTAACATCCTTCTCTTGTATCCCTTCCCAGCCTGCTTCTGGAAATACTGCATCTGAAGGCCTGCCAGGACTGGAGGATGAAGATGAGCCCTTCCCCAAACTGCCTTGCTGGGTATTAACGTGTTAAGAGTTTGTTCTGTTCTCTTATCGTGCTGCTGACTTGGATGCCATCCTCCCTGACCGCATCACAGCCAAGGCTAACAGGGACCATGGCAGGAGCTGGTAACCCACTACCACTCTCCACGGTTCCTTCCTTCCAGGGTTAACCTACCAGCATCTTCCTCTTTCCTCGCTGTCCTGTGTGTGCCATTCAGTCTGCTGCCACTGTACCCTCCTCCCCTTCTCACCCAGTGCCCGAGGCACCAAACATTAACTCAGTTCCCCTGAGCTGGGACCTCTGCCCACATCTGCAGGCGTTGCTCATGGTGGGTTTCCCATCACCTCCTACGAGCAGGTCTGTGGTGACCTGACACCACTGTTGGGACAGGAAGGTGTCAGCTCGCTGAGCCAGAGCTGTTCCTCGTCGTGTCCCGCCAGCACACGCAGTAGGTTTGGGGAAGGACAGGCACGGAGGTCTGGGCCCTTTGGATATCATTCCAATAAAGATTTTCTGTTGCACAGAAGCACTTGCTGTTTTCTTTCTCATCTCTTGCAGAGGCCCAAGGGGAAACACATTTCCCTTGATGCAGGCTCTTGTTACCTTAACGGTTCATGTGAAGTTTACGAGGGGAAAAGGGCTCCCATTAAACACCAGTTACAGCCACACAGACCTGTGTTAGAGTGCCTGAGGAAGAGGCCCTTCCTTTCGACCAGAACTGGGAATGAGAGTCAGGTCTTCCTCATGGGTCTGTATGGGCTGCTGTCCCGACAGGACTGGACCAGACCCACTGATTTCTACCTACTCATCCCAAAGAGATGTTTTGAGAATAAATTTTTGGCTCATCTGGCCGCTCAGTGTAGATGTTAGCTGGCTTTTTCTACTGCAGAACCACATTTGCACCTGTCCAAAAGGAAGATATCCCAATCCATCAGTGGTTCCTACATATATTCATCTTAAGTTATGTTATCTACATTTATTTGCAAAAACAATGGAGCATGTTCCCAAAGGTGCAAATTCAGAATAAATCTTAAGGCCACTGATGTTAATTTGGAGGTTTCCAGTTGTGTAAATAAGAGCAGAGTCTGGCAGCCACTGTGAAGGTGGGGACTGATGAATGGGCTAGAATTGAACTGTCTCTCCAGCCCTGTTGAGCCGTGCTATTTAACTGTAGCTTGCATACTACATATTCTTCAAAGCTGTACCGCTCCCAAAGCTGTAATTACCGTGCTACATTGATTGCCTCGGGCTCTGGCACGATGTGCACACTTACCGCAGCAGTACCTTGTACGTACTTCATTAACAGTTTTATTAATCTATCTGTTCATCCTATTACAGGCCAAAGCTGGCATCTATGCAATAACACCAGCTTGATTAGCTCACTGAGGTCTAACGATGTGCAAAACACAGCTTGCTGTTAACATTAATTCTTTGTTATTTCCTTGGTAGTGATTCAGAACACATTTCCCATTTTCTGGTGCTTTTGTGCAGGTGAGAAGGTTCACGGGAGCTCCCTTACACACACCCTCTCAACAGCACCAAATCCAGGAAAAATTACAGCCTATTGCCAAGAGAAGGGTCTCTCTTTCTTGAAGAATTTGCTGCTCCAGCCAGGAGGGAGGTGTATTACAAGAGCTGCACTGAGTGACCCAGCCTGGTGCTCAGCTCAGATGCTTTCAGCTTGCAGGAAATCCCAGTGCAGTGAAAGGCTGGAGCAGCAGGCTCCGTCTGTTACCTGCTACCTGTAGCCATGCCTTCCCAACCCCGTGCGACAACTCATCAGCAAGTCAGGGAAAGGAATACAGCTTCTGTGGCTGTTTAACAGCTTGCTCTGATCCTAGACACAGGAGTTCCCTGGGGTGCAATGCACCATGCTGCTTAGCACTGATTTTTAGCCCACACGGTGTGCTGCATCCTATCAGCGCAGTAATTTAAGTGTTCACGGTACCCAAACTACCCTCCTATTTCCTCCTGTGTTAGCTGCTGCTGCTAGAGTGATGAATGAGTGTTGAGTGCAATTAATTTACTAATTTGGAGCAAAGGTGGTGATGCTCTGCCCAGGCTCACCCTCAACACGTCACTGGATGGGTCAAGGTCCTGTCCCTCCTGCAGAACACACAGAACAGAAACTCAGGTGCCACCTCCACATCGTGGCTGCTCACACCTTACCCATGCTCTGGAAGTCTCTATTGCTAAAATTAAAGACCCACAGGTAATAATTAAAGGGATTTCCCTTAGACATTCTAGTCAATCGTATTGATTTGTTAGCAGAAAATCCTCACAGGCATCTGAATGGATTTGCAAACAGGCAGCACAGGGCAAATCCAGTGTGCAACGGATGCTGTAGTGTATCCTCATTTCACATGTGTTGGCCTCCATGCTGTGCACAATGATTGAAGCTATCCAATACTGTCTATGAAAACAGATTGTGGTCATCAGCCTTTCAGACACCATCACATTTTAAACAGCACCGCCCAATGTATAGATTTTAAAGGGTACATTTTGAACCTCAGGAGCCTCGCTGTGCTCCGCAGTGGATGGGGCAGAGGAACAGAAAGGCTGCCCTGTTCTCCCAGGTAGCCCACGCAGTGAGCCGAGAGCAGGACTGGAGCTTCCAGCAACACCACCGCAGCCACCTCTGTCCTGCTTTGCTGTCGTCTCACCCTTCAGACTGAGGACGCTTCTGCACAACTACAGGCTTTAAAACCCCTCTTTATTTGGAAGCCCAGGCTAATACCTGCCAACTCTTATAATACTTTTATAATCCAGCAGTATCTTCGCAAAGCCACTGTGTCAGCACTGGATTCCTCTGATCTGAGTCTCCCAAACACATCATGCAATGGCTCTGTCCATGCTGCTTTTGACAGACAGCTGTATGGTCACCACCAGACAGGTCAGGTCATCACTTCCATAATCTGCCCATGCCCCATACGTATGGCTGCTTTGCAAGAAGATTATCCGCAGACTGTCTGGATGAGCTCAGGGCAATGAGATAACCGTTTACTGAACCGTGGGGAAGGCTGGGGATAGGTGGTGGCAGTGTGCTGCCGAGGACAGGGTCTGGGCTTGGGGATAGGTGGTGGCAGTGTGCTGCCGAGGACAGGGTCTGGGCTTGGCTGGCTCTCCATTCACAGGTTTGCTTCTAGCATAAGACAGAAAACCTTGTCTCGAGTCAGCAAGTCTACACGCAGCCACTCAAACCACCCAGAGCCTTCACCTGCAAGCTTAAAGGCAGAAAAGGAGCAGTGGGACCAAGAGGGCAAAAAAACCCCAAGATGACCACATATGGACTTACAGCCCTTCTTTCTTTCTATGACTTTCAAGAGCTTGGTCTGGAACACATCTGCGGTGCTTCACCTCGCACACAGGCACTGAGAGCTCACCCACCGAAGCAGAAATGATCACTTACCTTGCTCTGCTGGACGGGAAGGATGCGATTCACTGGGCTGTGCAGCTGCTCTCTGCATTAGCCTATCCTGGAGATGTCATAAAAGCAAAGTTTCTCACAAACCTTCTACGGCCAGGCCAGTCCTGGTCTCGGGGCAGGGCTAGAAGCGAGAAGGGAAATGGGAAGGGTCCTTGCTCTGGGTGAGCGCTGCCCCTCTCAGACATGAACTGGATGCTACCTGCCCTTCTGAGTGGGAGGGAGCCTCATCTCCCACCATGGCTGAACCGGGGCAATTTCCCCCCAAATCCCAATCCTCAGAATAGCTTTAATTTCAAAGGCTCGTTGCCTTCCCAAATCCTTCCCTGTAGGTTACTGAAAAGCTGACTGTATTTTTCCACATTCTGCTAGCTGATGACCAGGTGCTTTGTGCCTCACTCAAGATCAGGAAATTAACACTTAATTTCTATCTCCAGCCTTACTACAACTTTCTGCCTAGCACAGGCTATTTGGCAAGAAGCGTTTTTCCTTAGTGCTGCATAATTGCTTTCTCAATGGCTCTTCTTTTGCAACGCTAAGGATGATTTATCCCCAAGAACAGCAATCGAAGGAATTTAGCTGACATGGACCAAAGCCCGAGAAGGAGCAAATGAGGGTTAGAAAATATCAGTTCGGAATCTGAGCATTAAGATGTCAGCAAACAGCTCTTCTCAGCTATATTATAATCTGAAAAGAAGGGAAAAGCATGAAACAGGATTTATGATAACCTGTTTTACTCTGAAATGAAGTGGAGAGGACGTGTTTACATTTTACCAGAGTGAGAAATGCTTGAACCTTTAGTGCTGGATGCCTGATCATGCCCCATGCGCTCATCGAGAGGCTAAAATAAGGCACATGATGCAGATGGCTTAGGAAGCGGATGACTTCATGTTTGGATGCTGTCCTATGTTATGCACAGGGAGAAGTGAAATGTATTTCATCAGCTTAGAGGAGGAAACTAGAAGTCTCATCGTATTTCAGGATCTGCCATACGATGAAAATATGTCTAAATATGGAGCAGAGATAAGAGAACGACTACTGAGAACATCAGGACAAATACCAAGGCATTGTCGTAGTTCTTATTCAGAAGAACCCTTGTAGACATCTTCTCCCAAACAGCAGTTCCAATAAATTCTAGGTTTGTCCCATAAACTGTTCAATCTTCCCTTCAGCTACCAGACAAACACCCTCTTGAAAGAAATGTGCAAAGCAAACTGTCTGCTTTCCATGGACTGCTGTTGGCATCTCTGGAGGTTTTATTTTCAATCCAAAAAAAATCTAACAGTCCTTGCTAGGATAATGAACTTCTGCAAGTTTAAGAAATAAATGCCATGCAATTAAACTCTATACATATTTTCTGTTCCCTCCTACCAGTGGCATTGTGCACAACTGTGAGAGCATTCTGACCTGATGAATGGAATTTCTTATTATTTGTAAATGCAACATTTGTAAAATGCAACGTGAAACTGATTTTGCAGGAGGTCAGTTTCCTTGAGTGTTGTATCATTAGTCAATGACAAGACATGCTGTGATGCATCTTCCGTTTTGCTGTGATGTTTCCAATGCAGCATCAATCATTCAGAACAGAAGCACCTGTAGGCAGAAGAGCAGGAAACATTACATTTCCCATGGCAGAAGTGCAAGGCTCGGACAAACACGCTGCAAGGGCAATTTACAGGAGATGGAAAATGGCAGAAATACTTGTTTTCTTGTAGAAGGGCACTAAGTTCTAAGTTGGGGCATTCAAGCTAAATTGACAGTCACAATCCATGTTCCAAGAAGCCATCATTCCCCAAGCCACCCCTTCCAAGCCTGCTGGCATGACTTGAGTACCTCCACGGAACTGGGGACAGGCGG